ACGAACAAACAAACAAACAAACAAACAAACAAACAAATAGAGAGACAAACCCGAGCGTGTTTGCCTTATTAGTTGACTCACAAAAGAGTTTCCCATATTCCCATATTGCTTCTTCTCAAGCTTAATTCTGGACTCCCAATAAATCTATTGCCTTTTTTGGACTCTTGATTCAAGCCGTGTTCAGGAGAGGGAGCATTTGGCCTGGTTTGTAAGGGCACAATGAGCGGTCCGAAAGGAATGGCGGTTCGAGTTGCGATCAAACAGTTGAAGACGAATGCCATCGACGAAGAGCGTGAGGAATTTCTACGTGAAATGGACATCATGAAACAGGTGAAACTAATGGCCAGTTATCCGGGCAAATCGGTCCCAGCATCTATAAAGTATTTCAGGTCGGTCGTCACCCAAATATCGTGACGATGTATGGACTCTGTGAAGAACCGGATTTTCAGTGTATGGTGATGGAGTATGTGCCTTTTGGCGACCTTAAGCACTACCTGCAGAACCTTCGAAAGCAGGTAAGTAGTGAGCCTCACGGGCTTGTTGGGCAATATTTCATGTTTCGGGCGGATACGAAACTGAATCCGAACTTCTCGCCTCTCTTCTATGGAGTCACTTACCATACAAAAGTGTATTATATTGACATGGTTGTAACTTGCAGTGGAGAAGGTTTCTGAGTGTCTTTGCCCGTTTTCGTGAGCGCATTTAGTATGGAGAGGCTGTGGCGTCGGGACTGGTTTCTGAGTCCTTCCCGTGCACTACCTTCTTAGGAGCCATGGGTTCCTATGACTAGGAAGTATCTGGAACCATTTCTTTCGCGACTTGTGCTTTGGAAGTGGAACGAACTGCTATTGGAAGTATTGAAACCAAGTTTTCTCCTCAGATGTAGGCGATACTTTACCAATATGCAATTTGCACCTGTAACCTGTGCTATGAGACGAATGTGCAGACTATAAAAGGAGGTCGTCAAGAGCGAGGCGAGAAAAATCCTCGTCTGCTTGACGATGACGAACAGTTGTTCATTAGTTGTGTCACAACTCATCAACAAGAGCCTACAGTGACAAGAGAGGATATCGATCCATCGAGTATGATGGCGCTGACTACTGACCACATCTGCTGCGGCGAAAGAAAGTAATAGGCTAGAATAGTGTAAAAGTGACGAAGAAAACGCGAAAATAGGCGTATCCAGAGAAATAGAAGGCTTCCAAAAGTAGTAAAAATAGGGGAGGGACGGGAATGTGACGACGAACATCGCATTGAAGGGGTATTTAGACTAGCTGTCCAAAAGTGTGTGCCATTGCGTACAGCAGGATACAGTAACCTGCCTGCGTGAAACGCGTACGTCCCGGTGCGAATGGTGCAACCTCTACGGCCTCTATAACGTCGTGAGAACTCGTCCGCCTTGGGCGTGCATTCGGCTCAGCTGGTTTTGAGGCCCTTATTACGTCCTATCTCGACCGTTTTCGACCCGACCGCATCCCTTGTGCTACTCTTGGGGTTCTCAGGTTCATCTTGAAGAGAAATCTCAGGAAACACTAATTTAGAACTATGCCCTTGACAAGAGTCATAAGGAGTTTTTGTAAGAGAAAGAACCTTGTAGCAAATGTTACACAGCAATGATTGATTTCTATCATT